CCATGAACAGAACAATACTCACCAATAAAAATTTGTTCCATAGATCTAGAAATTTAAAACGCCCAGCCAATATTAAATTCCAGTATGCAATTGCCATTTCTAGGTCTAGAGAAAAACAAAACAATAAAACTGAAAAAACACTAGTTAACTATAAATAAAAATTAAAGGAACAAATGAGGATGAACCCAACACATGCCTAAGCCCTTTTGTCCTGGATTCTTAGCAAAGTTGAATGTGAACTGATAGAAGTCTTTAAATTTCCCTTGGTCCTTCAACTCTTGCTCCATCCTGGGTAGCTGTGCTTTGAGTTTCTCTATACTGTCACACCTTGACAAAACAAAGGCAAAGATTAGCATTTCAGGATGTAAGTCACTGGATGAGGGGAAAAGACGATTCAGAGAGCTCAAACCTGATTAAAAAAAAATTACCCTTGCTCAGCCATTCCTTCCATAAATTCTTGTTTGGAGAACTCGCATTGTGTTGCTGCCCGAAACTTCCAAGCTATTAGCAGAACACTTACACTGGCTGGATCAAGTCCCAAATCATCACAGAACTGTTGGATCCCATCTATACCAATCTTGTTATCATCTTGAGGGTCTGGGAAACGAATACAATGCGAGACATTTTTTATTTTCTTACAGAAAAAAATTACACAAAGCATGGTTGAGTGTGTTTGTAATAAAACTCTATTTTGTAACACACAAAACACTATTTTAAAGTAATGATATGCTGCTCAACGCTTACCTCTGTACCGATTGTAAAGCTGTTCTAACTTCTTCCGGTCTAGTGTTCCCTTTAGATTCTGTATGTAGAGGTCTGGATTTTGGAAAAAGTTGTCTGTAGCAACGTCTAGTTTCCAATCATTCTGCAACAAACAATTCAATGCTGTTTTCTCATTTGACTGGGTAAAGATCATGAACTGGCGAACTTTATCCTTCTGAGAGGATTTCAGCTTGTTCTGTAATAGAGAAAAAGCATAAAGTCACATTCACTTAGTTAGATATTGTATATCAACAGTTACCAGTACAGCAGCATATCCATGTATAGACCCAGTCTGTGTCAAGAATCAGTATCTCAATGGCATATTGACACCAATTGGTTTATCCTTCCCTGTAATTTTATTTTTAATGACAAGTAATAGAAGTAATTTATTTGCTCTATACTAGTAGCAAGCATGACTATAAGTTACACACCACGAAGACTTCATACATAACGAGCGCTTGTCTACTGAACTGCTTTTCAGCAGCATTTCACACTGTTTGCATAAGGTTTTGTAACCGATAAACAAACAAATAACCCTTTACTGTGGCCCATTAGTCCGGCTTCTCATTTGAAAAATGAACTTGACAGCCCTGCTGTCCAACAGCTTTGACCTCGCTAGCTTCAAAGCTACCTGCTCTGTATAGCTGTCCAGCAATTAATTCATCAATAAAGCCACTCTCCTGCTAACTTAGGTAGGTTTAAAGGAATGTCGTCGTCAAAACAGCCTAATATCTCAACGGGATTCGTCGTAGCGCTTTATGGGTATTTTGTGACTGTAACACACATTAGTAAAATTGTTTTTTTCTCTCTCACATTTACCATGTTTGTGATTTCCAGACTCCCTCTTCCGCTATCCCTCTCTGCCCTGCACCTACTTCCGCTCATGCGCAGTGACAGTTGTACCGCAGTCAGCTGTTCAGCATAGACACTCAGTAGGCTATGTTCATGTACGAAATACTATTTATTAAACAGGCTTGCCAACACGCTTTTAGGCTCTGTCTCACGCGCTCACTCTGCACATGTACATCTCACGCCAAAGTGACAAGCCTGCTTGCGATATGAAACAAAGTCTCAGTTTAAAAATGTTGTACGTTTTAATCATAGACTGTATAAAAACAGGTCTTAATACCAGTGTTGGGGAAAGTTACTTTTAAAAGTAACGCATTACAAT